CCCCGATACTTCCCTATCTACCGGAGGAGTTGAAAACTACTTGGGCGGGAAATGTTTGCCTAATTTAGCTCAGAGGTCTCCTAGAGACATGAGGATCTTTTACCTGCCGTAAATCTACCACACGGGACACGGTTTAAAGTCCCTCCCGGAGGACTTTTTCCTTGAAATTTACCGCCCTTAAAAATTCCACGACCTCCGCCGGATTTTAACCCGCGTACCTTGAGTCATCAGGTGGGCACGTGGGAGGCCGCTTATTTCAGTCGTTAGCATGGTTAGGTTGTCTGTGCAACCCTTGTTTCGCCGAAATCCATATCGTGTTACTGAGAAATTCCGGTTCCTTTCTAGCCACCAGGAGATGCGCATGTAGTTACTATAGGATTCTGACGATGGTGTATAACACACTGATATATTGGGTTTCTGGACTTTATCCATCGTCCTGGTTTTTAAGATAACAAAAACACGACGTTTCGGAAACTGGATCTGTTTCCGTCCTCAGGTGAAGGAAAAGGGGAACACCTATTCTGTTGGGTCCGTTAGAAAGAGCTAGCCTCAATCACTGGACGATTGTTATCTTAAAAACCAGGACGATGGATAAAGTCCAGAAACCCAATATATCAGGAGATGCGCATATTTATCATCCGCTCTAATACCTTGCACACGCATGATACCATGGATACAGGTCTTACATTCGTTTTGTCTCTGGAGATAAAAATGCTCTATATTTTTTCCAGTCGTCTTGCTCTCTAAATATCGTTGTAAATTTCTAGCAGATCTTCTGAAGCTTCATTTAGCAAATTGCGAATTATGGCGTAATCTATTCCATCCCGTCCCAGGCTCGATTGGACTCCGAGGTTTTTAATTGCGAACTGGAGTTCTTGAATTGTGTACATTTGAATCCAGGAATGGACCCTGATTATCATGATCGACTACCGGCGTTTGATTGGGTTCATCCACATCTGAGCATAGCTTTTCAAAAGACGTTTTGGCGGAATTAACTAGTTCTACTTTATATTCGTTTTCCCTTTCCGTCTTGTTGAGTCCATATTTCAGTCTTTTAACTCTATCCCAAATGTACGATGGATTCATGAATTTATCTGTTCCCTCGCATAAAGTTTTCCAATGTTCTTATTTGATTTCTCTCAGACTATTTTTTTTGCGATAATCGCCGCCTTTTTGTATTCCAAAAATGTCTCTTCAGTGTTACAGTATTTCCATTTAAGCAATTCAGCTTTTCTGATTCTAATTACTGTATCGCATTCCCTGTTCCACCAAACACTCTGATAGTTTCTCCCTATTTCCTGTATTTCCTTGTCCTCCATTTCCGAGGTTGTTTTTGTTTTTTATTTTAGGAGTGGTCCCTTCTAATTTTCCTTTAATTATCTGGATAAAATTATCATACCGTTCCTTTAAATCCTGCTCTGTGTTCCACTCGTCATGCGTTTTGATTCCGTGATTTTTTCTTTAACCTCTTCCATGAAGACAGTCCAATCAGCGTATTTATTATGCAATCTAGAAGCCTCTTTCCTGTCTTTCCCTGGCTCTGTTTTGCCGTTATCCTCGATGGAAATTGGATAATGGTCGTTATTCCAAAGGTCTGTTTCAACCTTCCAGGTGTATAACAGTGCTGATCTTGGGTCCACGAAAGTTAGGTCGAGGGCTGCCTTGGATCCTGTGACATCGGAGATATGTGTCTGGGAGCAGTCATATAGCAACGTGATGTTTGTTTCCAATTCAGTGATGCAATGGTACAGATTGCTGCCGGTTGTACAATTTGTCGAATTACCCCATGATATCCATTAGTCTTCGCCAATCAAGAATTTACCTTTTAATTGTGCGAATAATTTTTTCCCATACTTTCAGCTCGATTTTATTGTGGGGCTGCTTGTAACATGACACGATTAATATTTTATCTGGGCCCGTATATAGTTCAATTGCACACGCTTCAATTTTGCGGTCACCATCATATAAACCATTCTTACGCGAATATTTAAGTTTGTTATTTCTAAAAATGGCAAGTCCACCCCCTGCCCCTTCGTTCCTTCCTTTCCTCACCACGTCAAACCCTTTCAGGCATACACTTTCTGTTTCACCAAGCCAGGTGTCTGATAGAGTTATGACATCTGTGGTTTGGTTTCTCTGTTGTAATTCGGGGAACTTGCTTCTTAGGCTTCTATAGTTCCATTGAACTATCTTAATTGGTTGATTTCCGTTGAATTTTATTGTAATGCTGTTCGTGAAGCTCGACGGTTTTCCACATGTGACTGACCATTGCTTTAGAGTCCCCGAAGTTTGTCACTAGGTTGACTGTCGTCAGCAATACATATTGACTTTGTGCTCCATTTGAATGGACTCCAACTCGTCTAAAGATATCTCTAACATTGTCTGGTCTTTAGACCAGTTCAATCTTGTTTGAACTCGGGTCAGATGTTTGAGTTCTGCTGTTATCCATGACTTTCTTCCATTGCCCTCACCCTGGTTCCATCCAGTCAGTTGGCTCGGGAATTTATTTTTTTTGGTTTTTCTCAATATTATCCCACTGCTTTCGTCTTCATGGCGTTTTGAGAAATGGGAAGTTCCTCATAGGCTCAGCGTACCCTCGGGAGCTTCCAGCACCTAAAGTAAACGCAGGTTCAACCGCCAGGGTTGTGACCATTTTTCTACAATTTTTCGTGCTTCCAAAAATTCATCATTTAAATGAGCCATGATTTGATTAATTTATTTCGCTTTTTTAATAACGGGGCATCGCTCGCTGTTTGCTTTGTGATCACCGTTACAATTTAGTCATGTTTTAATACAAGACCCTTTATGTTTTGCCAAAGGAAGAAAAAGGGGGACGGACGGAGAAACGCACATTTCTGCTCCATTTTATGACATTCTTCAAGATTTTGATTTCAGCTTTATTTGACAGTAGTTTCAGGTGTAACCGTCCAAGACAACATAAACTCTTTGACAATTTGTGAACCAGAAGTGACGGCGTCTCTTAATGTTCCACAGAAATTGAATTTTATAATTCTCTAACGGGGGAACTGCAAGAATTTTGAAAAAGATTTGTTCAGAAAATTAAGCCTTCTCACAGTCAGATAAACAACATTCAGAATCTCCGACTTACAGAAAGCGACTGAGAAAATGTTTATCGCAGGATACGCTGTGAAGTAACAGAAACCATAAAAGCACATTTGATCAACTGATTGTTTGAAATTCTCGTACTGAAGTGTGTCTGACTATTAGATTTCGGATACAAAATACGGGTGTTCCTAAAAGAATGGTGGGGTTTCCGATACATATATATTTCGTATTTCTTGCCGTATACAATCATAACATGCGTCAATCAGAAGCTTAACTATTCAAATTTTATGCGCATCCATCAAAGTGCCTCTGTGTGCGCATCTTTCGTTCCCCGGCACACATCAATGCGATAGTCCTATTCCTGCCACACCTGCTGCAGCATTTCAGGTGTGATGGTCTCCACAGCATGATTGATTGTTTCGTAGATCCTAGAGTGATTATGGCAATGGGGGTACATAACCCATGTCCTTCACATACCCCCACAAGAAGAAATTACAAGGAGGTATGTCCGGGGACCGGGGTGGCCACTGGAGACAGGGGGCATTTTCACCTGCAGCACGTCCAATCCATCGTTTGCCTAACTGTCGGAAATGTAACTAAGAAAGAGTGTGATATATAAATTGAAAATTTAAAAGCCATGTTATGAATCCGTATACGTTATGCTTTTCATCAGCAAAAACTGACGGAGATATACGGAAATGAAATCCCACCATTCTTTTAGGAACATTCTGTGTATTACTGAAACTTTCCAGTTGCCGATTATGAATCGTTATTGAAATCATTGAGACGGTATTCTAATTCTCTTCTACTGAAATATGAACATTCGTCTGTTTTTTCGAAATAAATGCCACAAAATAACATTACGAACTGTTTAATCTTCCATCGCCTGAAACCTGAGTACAGCATTACCAGAAGTCCCAGTATTATTTGCGTGATCATTAAAAGCTCCAGAAACTAGTGCATCTGTCAAGCGGTCATTCTTTGCTTTGAAAATGGTTCATTGGATGGCTGAATGGATTGATTCTTATACACAGGACTCTTAAGTACAAGTAATCACAGCGCGACAATTCACAAATCACCACAGCACTCGCTAAGCTATTTACAAACTGCTACATATGTCTTCAACTATTCCCTGGCAACGGGTTTTAAAAGCGTAGATTCTTCAGCTTCACTTCCTCAGGTCCTATCTGCACAACCCCCACACAGAATTCAACTGAACTTTATCCCTTTCTTAAGGTATCTCAACATGGACCACGTAGAAACACACTGTTTCCATTGTTTTAGTCCAAGTGTTGCATTATTAAGAATCTGCTGCCTAACAACGGGAACGTATTTACCGAGCCGTTGGCCAGAAACGGTGGCTCTTTACAGAGTCACCGTTCAGCAACTTGTCTATACGCCACAATATAGACTCAGCAGAGACCCACTAAATTATCATTAATTACGTTTGAGAAGTACACATTTCATAATTTGGAAAACGGTATGAATTTCTGTGACTCTGTGACAGATAATTTTGCTGAATAAAACCGTCGCATGGAAATAAAGTATGAAGTGAAATAAAGGAAAAATAAGCTCGGTAATCGCTCTCTCCTATTTCATTCTTTATCTTAACTAATGTTTAAATCATATTTGCATATGTTTCCTCTACGAAGTAAATGGTCAATTATCAAAGAGTTGAAGACCTCCTGTGTTGAGATTTGGACAACACTTTCGGAAAAATCATGCTCCGCCACTGGGAAAAAAATGAAGACAGGGAGTTTGAATGTTGAGGCCATAGTTGGGAAGAGAGAATGCAGACAAATACTCGACATTGATCCGTAATAGATTGCATTAGTTCAGGACGGGCTCCAATGGCATGTCTTTTTAGTGATGATGACAATTCAGTTTCCATATTAAGAGAAATGTAGTAATGGATTTTATGTGAAAAATATTGCCTCAATCTTTGATAAAACTCCTCCTTCTCTTGATGTAATTCCCACCATCCAAGGCACGAGTTCCAGGTTATCACTGAGAAGCATCTTCATCGGATACTCATTGATAAATACTTCATCTCCCTCGCCCACCTGGGTCTCAATAACAGGAATGAACGCCATAGGGGGAATTGTCGAAGACTGAAAAGAAAAGAGGATTATCAGCATCTGATTAACAAGACTTCAGTCGTAATCAGTATTCATACCTGAATGTCGCCCGGCTACCCATGGTTAACGCAGCGCCAAGAAAGCTCATTGGATATTAATGGAGGCCTGCGGTTAACCCCACGCTTCGACTACCTTTACTACAGCGATAATACATCAAGAACCAGTGCTAATCACTTAGGAATTTCTCTGAGTACCAGAGAGTTCTGAACAAATCTCTGTAAAGGAAAATTCGAAACCTAGAGCTAGGAATTAGTCTTGGGCCTCGAGTACTAATTTCTTTGTATTATATTCTTGTAAAGTATTCCTTACAAACAATTTTCCTGCATATTACTGAAGTGGAGTATATCTTCCGCGCACCATCACGGTTTTCCACTGGCTACTGTGGCAGCCAGGACAATAAGTTAATTATTTTAAGGAACATTTAACATGATGATTGTAGTTTAGCATCAGTGCTATATATGTTCAAGATGACCTCCATGACGTTCGATATACTCGTATTGCCTTCATAGCTGTCTGCATTTCTGCACGACTAACCTCAATAAAGCGTTATTAACTCTTCCAGTTACCTCCGTAAAGCGGTCCTTCAGTTTTCGGGTGAATTGGAGGTGAGCAGCGCTCACTTAGACTGTCAAGTTCGGGGAACGTGATTGCCAAGGAGTCTCAAAGTCGTGAAATTAAGTGGGCTGAACACATTCCTCTAAGAAGACCCATGCTTTGCCTTGTCATGTAGACCGTTGCACAACACTGTTTACTTCCTACATTTCTCACACTTTGCCCTTACCCTTCGCAGCCAAAAGATGGTTGCAGCACAGTGCAGTAGTGTTCAGGATCCACGGTAGCGGTTTGGTTCGACTCACCCAAGGAAATTAGGCCCGATCACAACAAAAGCAAGAAGACAACCTCAGACAGTTACTTCTCACTATGGAGGGGTTTCTCGCGGATCTGCTAGGATTATCACCGCTCCATTTCCTGAAATTCTCTTTGTTTATGTAACAGGAGAGCAGGCCTTCTCTGGCATGATCAAAGCATCCCAAACCTCTTGGTCATTATCCACAAGGCCCATAAACAACAACAACAAAAATTCCGTGATTTTAGTCCGCAAGCGAACTATACCGACTGAGTGACTGCCGCTTGTCGGCGAATTTTAGTGCCAAATTTAGCAGATAGAGGGTGTCGCGTGATCAGCTTAACGAATCCCCACGGCCGTTAATTTCGTTTTTCTAGACCGGAGCAGTTATTTTCTTGAAATATCACCTCAATTATCCTCACGAGGCTGCGTGAACCGTGTTTCAGATCCACTACCTCTCAGAAAAAAATCTGGCAGAGCCGGGAATCGAACCAGGACCTCTGGATCTGTGGCCAGTAACTCTGACCACTAGACCACAGAGGCGGTCCCAAGTCCCAATATTCACACGGCAAGGTTTATATTATTCTTTCAGTTAGTGAGTTATGTGTGTTCTGTAAGGACGTAGCCTAACGTCTTCATACAAACTTATTGTAAAGAACTTTCTTGTCTTCTCTAAGGCGACCGCATACCGAGCCTTCGTGTTTATTACATTACTACCCTCAGTCACTCAACACTTTTTGCATGAGAACGAAGCGTGCAGGGACAACACACTCACTCACTACACTGCCATCAACATTTAAATATTCAAGCCGCTTCAAATTGTCGTTGAGCTACTGAATTCTCGATCGTCAGATTCGTGCTGATAATGACTTTGCAACTGCACACTACACACTACATGAAATGATCCATTATTTGATCTATTAATACAATTTTTATTTCAATTATAATATTAGAAACTGACATATAAGAAGAAAAGGAATTGCATGGAGATCAATCCTCTGTGAATCAAGAGTTCAGTAAGACCATCAGTGCCTCTGGCAACTTCTCCAACAAGAACTGTGATGTTGATGATTACTCGACGGCACATATCCTCAGTTATGCAGGCCCGAATGATTAGTGCTCTCAATTCAATTACTGTTTGCGGTTTTTTGGAAAAATTTTTTCTTAAAGGAACATCGAAAAAAATCAGGACTATTCGATAGTCAGTTCTCTCCACATGCGAAACGATCACGAAATCGGTTTGAGATGACACGCGAGTCGAAAGTGTCATGCAGATAGTCCAAAACAACATCCGCTGTCTGCGTCCTGTCTCCATCCTGTATGAACCCTTGATTTTGCAACGGCATACATGTAGTAGGAAGGTGAAGTACAAAATTATTGTGCAACAAGCTTAAATAGTTCTCACCTTTCACTCTCTCTTCAATGGAAATTGACTCTAGCAGGCCATGACTTGAGATGGCTACTGACGATGTAATTCTCGACGCATGATGCACCTTCTCATGAATAACACATTTCGTTTATTACCCACGCCACCCTAGTTGAAGTGTGCCACATCAGAGCCCATTCAGCAAATGCTATTCATTGATGTTTGTTTCAAATTACCTTTCTGTATTCTTTGCACCGATCGTCTGGATATTCCTAGTTGTGCTGCAGTCTTCTTTGTCTATTTGCTGGGGCTTCTTTGCAGCCCCACTATGAGAGCGTCATTGTTCTCTGGGGAACGCGCAGATGAAGGTCGGCGACGTTTCCTCTCCAACACTGAACCATCATTATTAAACTGGTTATAAAGTTTATGAATTATTTTGAATGAAGGCCCACATTGCGTTTGAAAATGGGCATGAAACCGCCGCTCTGTAACCAGAACACTTTTTGTTTCAGTAAAGAACAACATTGTTTTTATGTGCTGTTCTACAGACAGTCTCCTTTGTCAGTCATTTTGTGTAAATTGGAGCATAAGCAGGAACAGCGCCAGAGTAGAGCGCTCGGGAAGAGTTAGAATTAACCTCCATAATCTACTGTAAGTGCTACCATATTACAAGACATCGTTCATTGTATGGTTAAATAATTAATACTAAATCAAACACAGGATCATTTCGTGCGACATCCTGTATGTTCTCGAATTAAAATCGCAAAGTTACACGGCCCGGTTTTTCACGGATACTAAACCGAATGCCAAGGTGTAAGCGCGAATGCAGAATTTGCTTTCTCCGCTCTAACCACTCCGTTATAACAGCGATGTGAAACACGTTTCATTTTCGCGCCTCACGAGAAAGAAATTTCGGATATTTTTCCCCGCCGACTAAAACCAGGAAATTAAAGGGCTACTTCCAAATGGCAGTGCATGTATCAGAACTGGCTCATATAATAAAGAATACAGTTTTATTTCTAAACCTGAGATTCAGCAGTGGGAAATTTGATCATCTGGAGGAGAGCTGGAAATTTTCTTCATCGCCCAACTGCAATCCTGCTAGTGAGTATAAATATTCCCGAGGGAAAGGACAGTCGAAGCACGAATCTATTCACCAGCAACTAATGGTAACATTTTAAAATGGAAGAGGCCTTACCTTGATATCTCATAGATGCGTTATTGACACAGTGGTCTGGCCCAGGTAGTCACTTTGCATTTTGTGATACTATTACATAAGTTGTCCCTGTGCATAACTAATTAATCATTACGCCGTGAAGGTGTATTGAGATGTGGATGTATAGATCCAAATTTTCTTCACCTTGACACTAGCTGGAGGTGAGTGGTCAGCTTCACGCCCCGGCCGCTTTACCCCCGGAGAAATAGCCCCCAGTACCCATTTGATGCGAGGTTGGGCGGACTCCAAAGGTGATCTGGACGACATGGAGAAGAGAAAATTTTTGACTCTACCGGGACTATAACTCCAACCCTCTGTTCAGTCTATGCTGACGTCACAGAATCGGATTCGGAACTTACTGGAATCGAAAATTCCGCGCCGTATAACTTGTAGGCGTCCTGTTTTCTGAGGCAGGAGATCAGCTCGGAGCTCGGCTGAACGGGACAGTTAAACACACTTGCCACTAATGCTGCCAGTAACTTCGGTCTTCCTGGAGGTGTAAGTGCCCAGGGGCTTGAAGCAACACCGCTCTTGGAGATAGCGCGTTGGAATAAACCTGTAAATCAATGCATGATTATTGCATTTCGACTGACTTAGTTTAAGTGTAACCGCCCTCTCTATCTGTGTACTCCTTTGCGACGTCTTCGTCGGAAGCGCCTCTTCTTCAACTGCTCTCCTCACCCTCTTCTTTTGCTTCTTGTTGATGACGCCACCTACCATTTTTCATTGCTTCTTAATTTATTTTCTCAGGGTTAGGATTAAACTCCTCAGGGTTGGTAGGATTAAGTTTCTCAGGGTTGATATGATCAAGGGTGAGGTTGTTGGGAGCGGTAGAGCTGAGTTCTCTGTCTCAAGGTCTTAACGGGGCACACTTAGAAAGGCAGGTAGGACACTATTATCAACATCACCACACTTGAATTTCAGAGTTATTATTATTACTCTTGATCAATTGCGACACTTTCATTTTACAATTTAGCAAACACTTGTTACTGTCGGATTCTTTGCTACCTTCTAAATTTAGCTCGTCCTGTTTAATATTATCATTACACTTCTAACCGTGGTTTCACACTTCACAACAGATTATTACACTTTATCATTACAGCTTGTTACTACAAAGTTACTTCTGATCTAGCTAGCCCCGTATGTGACTTCACATGTGGTCCTTTCGACCCCCGGTTTCCGACTGACGCTGAAAAATACACTTCCTCGGACATCAAATTCCTGGCTTTCACAAGCGTCCTTCTTCTGTCACATACTCAAATTTCCGTGATTGGTCAGTTTAAAATTTAGAGGTATTCTAATTAGAAATTCCTCCAATCACTTTAACTCTTACAAAGGGGAAAGAAATTCTGTCAAAAAGTGACGAATGTGTATCGTGGCTTGGGCTGTAAACCAATAACCCTGCTTCTCTATATAGCTCGTAGAAAATTTGTCAGCTAAAGAACGCACAAAGACTTCAATGGCCATTCTTTACGTAACTTTCTCTTAATAAATCTTCAACGGGTATTTCTCTGCTTTTGGTGTAAGCATGGGAAGACGCTTGCTCTTAAATACAAGAATTGGCCTAAGTCTCACTACACTTGTTCATCTCCTTACATCTAACAATTAAATTTCAAATTAATAACATAAATCACATTTAAATAGGCAGCACGGCAGTGGAACGGTTACATAAGGTCAAAGTTTCCTGCAACTCGGAACATTTCCGAGTGCTGGTTTCGCTTTAGATTGCCAGGGAAGTGATGAGCTTTCTAACGCATTTTGATAGCTGGATTCTATTCATAATTAGAGTAAGTTATTCCCAGAATAATTAGGTGTAATCCTTGAAGACGCACGGCGTAGTTCCAACTATTCATAACCTTCGCAGGAGATAGAAGACATTAGTTAGCTTCAGCCATTAACACTGAATCTTGGAGGAAAGAGGACCCGGTGTTCTTGGGATGTGAGGTTGGGTGAACCCCACGCCCTGTTGGGACGCCTTGGTCAAGAAAAATACATCAGCCTGCAAGAAAAGGAATCCCAGTGGCCTAGCGGGTAGCGAATTACACACTGACAGAGCAAACCCGGCCTCCTCTCTCTTTCTGCATAAAGAAGAATGTCTGCCTGTTTTTATTCATTTTCACAACGTTGCATTCACGCCTACCAAAATCTGGCATGATAATGGACCATCTCACTGGGGTGGGTTTAGAATCGTGGATACATGCAAGTGGTCTACTCCAAGCCACCACATACCCTCATTACTCTGTCTGTGTAAAATGCGTTGGGATTGTGAGAACAATGGGTTCGTTGTAATTAGGATACGGAGCAATACCCAAAATACCATCCACATCGGTGGAACCCCCCCCCCCNATGTTGTCATTGCTGGATTTACAGGTAATTTTTGTTTCGTCTACTTATGCACTAAGCCCAGACAATGCCACGCAGGTTTGCTGGTTACTTTTAAATTTATAGACACAGATGGATTTTAACGATTGTTGTTTTCAAGTTCGATATAAGATTTTCGGCACATCTCACCTTTGCTTGCAAGGGACAACATGTGCAAGTGAGTGCTGCCACCTCCAGCACTTTCACCGAAATCGTCACGCTGTTCGGGTTTTCACCGAACGATGCGATGTTATCACGTACCCAGCGCAGTGCTGCCACCTGGTCCTTCATCCCGTTATTACCCGGACACTGCATCTTCCGTACTTAGGAAACCTGCAGACATGGGTTCAAGCCTTTAAATGTGAGGGTATAGGCAGCATACGGGCCAACAATTCTGTCTGCTTTCCTTATTAACAAAAATGTTTCAGGTAGTTTCTAGCACGACCTTCCTGTATTTAAACATTTTGTTCTGAAAAATGCAGACAGTAGCAGAGAGTCAAACAGTGATTTCTAACCTGTCAGGTACGCCTGACACTCTGCGTGTTCTCATTACAATTTCGGGCACCCAGAATATCTACGTAGCCGAACACAGTGGCCGTGCGGGCTAAGACATGAACAGTCTTAACCCGCTGAAACACTGGGGTCCAATCCCACTCGAGCCATGGATGTCTATGTGCGTTTATGCTGTGTTTGTGTTCTTCTGTGTATAGGTGGAGGTCTTGTGAGGTGCTGATCCCCATACAAGGAGTCCTACCGACTTGAGTATAGGATTAAGAAACTGAAAAGCGGTCAAAGCACAACAAAGGGCTATAGACTTCTTTTGTACCTTTAGTCGCAGAATGCAGTTACATTGCGCATACTGAGGATTTAGTGAAACACTTCCAGAAAAGAAGCCCTCATCCTTCCTCTTATGTAATACGTGAAGGTTATGTGGGATTTGAGGCTCTCATGGCGGTAGTAAATGAAATCAAGATCATCTGGAATATGTAGCCGTTTAGTCTGGTAAATCAATATGCATCCACCAACTTGTGCAGCTACACACCACAGAAGGTCGCAGTCTTGATATTATGACAGGCTGACACAATTGACAGGCCAAACTGACTGACATGGGTGGCAAATAGAGAGGCTTTTACTAGCAAGGTACCATTTTCGGAAACCGATCAGAGCAGCAAGGTGAATGTAGTGTTGGTATCTGCACAGGCGTATAGCATGTTCGCACGTATTCACTTTGTTTTGAACTTGTTCATTTAATAGTCTCGAAAAGCGAAAGAATTCCGGGAGACGTCCCGTAATTTTGATAAAATAAATAAGTAAGATTAAGCTGGATATTTCGCTTGTAATCAACAGACATTCAACTTTTATTCAGGTATTACTTGATACGTAGAAGCCCCAGCTGTCGGCTTATGCCGAATGGATAGAGTCAATATCGAGGTTTCGCTGTTAGCTGTTATTACACGCACTAAAGGGAAATTTAAACTTATCCTAAAATTGCTACGCCATTTAAGACATTTTTTTGAAATCTTAATATATTGTAACGTGTTTCGTAGGTAACGAGAAGAGAAAATTCACGCGGGTCTTGGAATTGGGCAATATGTTCATTGGCCAATCCCTTTTTCGCCTCCAAGTACAATTATCATCCACATATAACGTCGTCAGACGTTTCTTACAGCACTGTTTAATTACTTCTTGGTGAAGTCTTTCGTTTCCTTTGTCTCATGCGAGCTGGCTTCTGCTCTAGTCGGTGCTACACTTAATACTTGACTGGGCCAAGTCCAAGTCCAAATCACATTGCGACTGACGGTCAGTCAGTCTGTCTGTCTTGGTGTCGAGCCCCGGGTGGGGCTCATGACCAAATTTTTTTGTTTTTTTCTTATATGAAAGTTACTGTCCTGTTCATTTGGGTCGCCCTCTCTGACGAGAGGTCCGGTCTGTCATTTGTCAGTTTTAGTCCGTATTAATAAGTCCATTGTCAGTATTTACATATATTTACAAATTTAATCTTAATTCCTATTTCTTTGTACAATATATACAAGGCCTCTGTCAGTCCAGGCTCAGTACAGCAGATTAAGCCCTATTTCTAGTAGTATTCGCTACCACGGCGGTCTAGTCACTTGAACGGTTGTATGCCTGACCGCCGCCAAGTTTAAGCCTCTTATACTTTCTGTGGCGGGCTTCGCCTTGTCCGATGTTGCGAACATTCTCATTTTCATGATTTTGTATGACTTCTGCTTGTTGTCGGCATAATTTTGTTATATAATCATATACGTACGGGTTTTTGAATCGCAGACCGGTGTGCGCGTTGGAAATTTGCCAATGGCGAGGAGAACCTTGTTTTGCAGGCGCTGCAGTTTCTCTAGATGGGTGTCTGCCGCAAACTGCTAGGCGGGACTAGCATAAGTCATTACGGATCTATTGAGAGCTTTGTGGAGGATCAGTTTAATGTTAGCGTTCAATCGCTCCTTTCTGAATAGGAAATATATCCTAATGAATGTTCTGAAGGCCTTGGTTTCGATCATTTCTATGTTCAATCTCCACGTAACTCTCTTATCGAAGATTTCGCCTAGATATTTGCACTGTATAGAAATGGAATATTTCGTCCATTAAGAGTCAGACAAGACTCAGGCGGTCGATGACCATGAGAGAAATAGACCTCCTGAGTCTTGTCTTCATTAATTTTAATATTCCAGCGTCCACAGAAGGTCTCCATTGAGCTGAGACCGCGCTGGACTTTTCTAACAATAAAACCCTCCTTGCGATCTGTTGCATATAGACAGGTGTCGTCCGCAAATAGGGCCAGGTGAACCCCATGTGTTTGGGGGGCATCGTTTATGTACAACTTGTAAAGGTTGGGGGAAAGAACTGAACCTTGAGGCACCCCTGCTTGCATTTCCCTTGGGGTTGACATTTCGCCTTCAACCGAAACCTTGAATAATGTTATATTTTAGCGTCCTGTTGCACTGATTCATGTCCATGATTTATTCCAACCGCCTTACAGTGCATACACTTATTCACCTTACTCTTCTCTCTTGCACTACATGTTTCAGCACAAAAGTGCCATCTTCAGGTGTTTTTCGATGTACGTCAANATTATAAATATATAAGACAAATATATATTTTAGTATAAAGACAACAGGGCATGCAATGAAGTAGTTTGACGTACATCGAAAAGCACTTGAAGATGGCACTTTTGTGCTGAAACATGTAGTGCAAGAGAGAAGAGTAAGGTGAATGAGTGTATGCACTGTAAGGCGGTTGGAATAAATCATGGAAACCTTGAATTTACGTTGAGAAAGAAAGGACTCAATAAGCTTGATCAAACTGTTCGAGAATTTCAATTTTGATAACTTATACAGCAATCCTGAGTGCCACGTTGTATCAAAGGCTTTTTCGATGTCCAAGAACACAGCAGCCGTAGACATTTTGTTGTTGAAATTAAGGGTTACGTGGTCAGCCAGTCTCATACATTGCAATGTAGTGCTGTGACGTACACGAAAACCAAACTGGTTTGCGTTGAGCAGGCAATATGTATATGTAGTAATTTCAAAATTACTTTTTCGAATAGTTTTCCTGTCGTGGACAGGAAGCTGATCGGACGTAAATTTTGAGGCAATTTCGGGTCTTTACCGAGTTTAGGTAAAGCTATTACTTTGCTTCCTTCCAAGAATTTGGAAAATAAGAAAACCGAAAACAATGATTAAATAAATGAGTTAGGTGAACCAATGGTCTCCTTGGAAGGTGCCTCAGGCATTCATTTGGGATGCCGTCACTTCCACAGGCATTTCTCAATTTCAAGGAATTTATCAATTTTTGTACGTCACATGTTCTGATTCTTTGAGGGGGTTTGTTGTCTACGGTTTCGAGCAGAGCTTGAACTCTAGCCTCCACTCGCCGTTCATGGTTATCGTCGCACAGATCGTGCGGGGCGTGAACTGAATTTCCAGTCAGCAATTTCGTTTGTTTTTCCAGAAGAATGAAATTTAAGGCCTTCAGCACCATGAATAGCAGTTGGTGCCCTTGGTCCATTCCTCTTTAGGAGGGACCTAACTGGTCTCGCCGAAGCTGGGCTTTTATAACTTGCACGCGGACTTGATAGGGAATACCATGTCGAAAGATTCATTTCGCTAGCTGCTATCGAAACCCTGCTTCAGCAATTCGTGTGTAACGGTTGAAACTCCACTGTTAGGAATTGCTAGAGTTCTGATTCTTAGCCGCTGTCGTGGGAACGTAGGTCGTTGCCTAGGAAATCAATTCTGATCTCCTTAGCCATTCCGGATTTCTGGCGGCACGCCACAATATTCTAGAGCACTATATCAACTTGTTCGGTGAGTCCTTCTTAAGAAGTTAATAGTTACTCAGCTACTCAAAGTATTCCAGCATATTCATAAGAGCCCGACAATGTCCTCTGTCCTGAGCCTTATGAATCCAGCCCGAACTATGAAACACTATTTCTTGAAGATTTATCTTCACAATATCTCCCTCAATATCCTAGACATTCCATCATTTTCCCTACCACAAATTTGTAAGCATTGCTCTCTTCTCTTATGCGTGCTACATGTCACACCCATCCCAGTTCTCCTGATTTTGTTATTGAATAAATACAAAACTATAAAATAATAAGTAATAGCAAAAAATTAACGTGATTTGCGCCCTTGTGCATTATGAGTAACATTTATGAAGTTAAATGCAGCTTAAGAGCAGTTTCAGGAAGAAATATGTGTACTGTGTGCCTGCGTGCTACGTAAGTCAGCATAAGAGGACAGGATGGGGGGATCTAATGTAGCATACAAAATCACTAATGGCGTTCTCTGATGTTCGACACTTTTTTTTTTCAGAAAATGGAGATCAAGTAAAAGTCTTCAATCAAGAATTCTGCGAATAGTGTGGAACGATTTGTGTGTTGCATAGAGAATTCTTTTTCTCAATACTAGACCTTATCGTAGATCACTATGGCAGTAAACCAGATTTGCCTGGTGTACAGGATACAAGGAAATGTCAAATTATGGCCATATATAAGAGGATATTATTGTCACGTACGCTGAGTGACTATAGACGGGTTTTGGATCGATGACTGGATTTACTGCAATCCTTGATACAGCGCGTGACTAACTTTTCAGTTCTGTCTTACACACATATACTAGTGTCCAAAGTCATGTCTTCATTAGCCTGTGCTTGGTAGCGGTTTCCAACAGCTTGATTCCCAAAATAGTCCCCCGTCTCAGCTTCCAAATTCTAACAGCTGCATCTCACAACGACTGAACCGCAGCATTCCTCTAACTCATTAACTTACTCACCTACCATATCTTCACTCAACGACT